CCGGGTACAGACAGCTAATAGCACTGCTAAATAGCTAACAGCAGCTAGTACAGTTAGCATATGCAGAGACTTCCTGTGTTACAAGAGAAAAGGTCCGTGTTGGAACAATCCTCTGATACTTTGGTCCCAGGGACATGGAGCAGCTCCTGAAAGCAGTCTAATGTTGGTTTGGTTTCTCTGAGACTGTCAGACTGAAAGTGTCACTGAGACTCTGAACGATGATTATGAGACCAATGTTATCTGCTGCAGATCGAGGCAGAGGTAGACCAGAAACTGTGTTTTGTGAGGTAAAGTTACTGTTTTAATCAAAGGAGTGTGGTGGAAAGAACATCCAGGATCAATATTACTACTTATAACACATATGGAGACAAGAGGAAAGTATTGTACGCTGTGATCTGGGACTCCATGAAGATGAGGATGAAGACAAGGATGGCTGGCAGGATGCTGGCAGCCATCATCCAAACAGGAAACTCCCCGTCCGACCCCAGAGGAGAAATCAGCCAACCACGCTTCTCTGGACTGGACACCGAGAATCCACTGGGCACGTTCAGTTTCTGACAACAACAAGAAGAGAGGAGTTTAAATGTCGGGTCAACACAGTCGAGATGTTTCGATACCATTTTCCAGTTAAGGCGGTATGGAAGGAATATCTGGTATCGGAACAAGTCTACAACACAGGATCGTCTTTATGAGTGTTAAACCCTGACCTGGGTGTAGGTGTCCTCCACGCTGTAGTCCACCAGCACCATGAGGAGGATAGCAATGGGGACCCCAAAGTCTCCAATGATCCTACGGAGCTGAAACATACAGTTCATTGATCAGTGATGTGACACCTTACATCCCCAAAGGTAAGACCATAAATATCTACTCGAGGAGATTATTTAAGTGCACAAGACTCATGGGAGTTGTAGTTGTTGATTAGACTGATGATTCTGTTGTCTGTAACATTTCCCCAATAAACAGTGTATAAACTCTAGAGCTATGTTCTATATTGAGCTGATTCAATCAATAATCTATAATCATTTAACAGTGTATAAACTCTAGAGCTATGTTCTATATGGAGCTGATTCAATCAATAATCTATAATCAATAAACAGTGTATAAACTCTGTAGTGTTGAGTTCTTACATTATCCCTAATGTTTCTAACAATGTTCAAACTTAGACAAATTTTATTATGTAGCTGTCTGTACCTGTCTGTACCTGTAGAAACCTGTCTGTACCTGTAGAAACCTGTCTGTCTGAGAAACCTGTACTGTACCTGTCGCTACCTGACTCGTACCTGTAGAACACCTGTCTGTACCTGTCTTGCTACCTGTCTGTACCTGACTGTAGCTGGTAGAAACCTGGTCTGTACCTGTCTGCTACCTGTCTGTACCTGACTGTAGCTGTAAAACCTGTCTGTAGCTTGTCGTAGCTGTAACCTGCTCTGTACCCTGCACTGTAGCTGGGAGAAACCTGTTCTGTACCTGACTGTATCTGTAGAAACATGTCGTACCTGTCTGTACCTGGACTGTAACCTGTATAACCCTGTCTGGTAGCTGTCTGTACCTGTCTGTACCTGACTGTACCTGTAGAAACTGATCTGTAGCCTGTCTGTAGCCTGTACCTTGTTTGTACCTGACTGTAGCTGTTAGAACTTTTGTCTGTACCTGGACATGTAGCCTGTAGAAACTGTCTGGCTACCTGTCTCGTACCTGACTGTACCTGCTAAAACCTGGTCTGTAGCTTGGCTCTGTACCTGTCTGACCTGACTGTACCTGTAGAAACCTGTCTGTACCTGACTGTAGCTGTAGAAAACCTGGTCGTAACTGTCTCTGCTTAGCTGTAGAAACCTGTCTGGTAGCTGTCTGTAACTGTAAGAAACCTGCTCCTGGTAGCTGTAGAATCCTGTTGTTTTAAAGGCGTGCTGTAGCTGTACTTATATGTTACTAACCCTGCCAGGGGAAGGAAGCGAGCTGCTTCTTGAACCTTGCGCACGGTAAAAGCGATTGATAATCATGTTCCTGCCCATGAGCACCAGTGACAGCGAGGGCTGTGTTCGGCTCCCAAAACAACTCCCAGGCATTACCGGCGGCCTGTGGTGTAGTTTGCACAGAGAGGGAGGATACTGTGCTTGTTCCATATGTAACAGTTTGGAGGAGGATGCCTCCTGAAAAGATCTGGGAATAGGACCAACAGAAAGAAGAAGAACTGTAGGGCTAAGCTAACTGGCGTTGGTTGCTCGTGGTGGTTGCGCTGATGGGTGATTTGTAGAACAGCGAGCTAGTTAGTAGCCATGGAGCTAATTGCCGTCCCGATAAAAAAAAACAAAAAAAACAGGAACATTTGCCATTGCAGATAGTAACGTTATTCTAAATATGATTGTCAGTTATTTTACAGCGTTCAGTGTTTGTCACTGACGCCCAGTATGATGCTCGCTCAGATGTATGCAACCTTTTAGATAAGATTTCACCTTTTCCTTCATGAATCCATCCGTGCCTTGTCTTCAGACTACTACTTAAACCACATCTGTCATAAAGCCCTAGGTCTTGCTCGTTGCTGACCTGTGACCTCTGACCTCACCTTGACCAGTTTGGAGAAGGTCTCGTAGATGAAAATGAGGGAGATGAGGAAGGAGAAGATCTCCTGAGTGAAACGGGAGACGAAGCGAACCAGGATGCTTCCTTCGAAAGCCACAGTGAGGAGAACGATCAGCACCAGCCAGAAACCGATCCACACCCTTCCTGTCAGATACTCGATTCCATTGTCTTTACAAAACTGCACATGAGCACACAGCAGGTACATTTTAGGGCACAGTGAACAAGTTAGCTAAAAACATACTTTCCTCTGAAGTAGCTTTCTGGACCACTTGATATGTGATCCCGGGATGTTTTATTTGAACAGGGAGTTACTGTTGTATAGATGGACAGAATAAAAGCATGAATGATCATCTCCATATTATCTTCAAACACAATAAGTTTATGTTAAACAAAGTTCCTCAAAAACAGGAATAACACTTAATATGATACTGAAGAGTCAGTGCCTGGTTGATGGTAGATTTAACACAGATTTAACAGTTGAAGACCAAAAAAACATTTACAATCAAAGCAAGCTGCACCTAGAAGATCTTTGAACAGGGACCATCCATATACAATGATTTCTTCAAATGTGACTGAAGTTCCATTCGTAGGTAATAACGAGGAAGGCCACAATATGTGGTTTAAAACCTTGGAAACATAGAGTAAGTGTTTTCCTAAGTGTTGAGCCTTATTGTCTGATTAAAGGGAAGCAAGGCAACCAAAAGAGGACCCAGGTTAGAACCTTGGGGCATGCCACAGATGTTTCCAGGGTTATAGACCTGATGCTGTTGAGTAGAAATTGTAGAAAAATTCACAGAGAAAAAAATCTAATGAAAAGTTAAATGAAAAGTGTCTCTAGTGTGTTCTATGGACAATCTAGAGTAACTGGGACTGTTTCAGTTCTTCAGTTTGTCACATTTAACACAAGTGCGTAGATTTTCTGTCAGGTGAGCTCACAGTGTAGAAGGCCTCTTCAAAAACCAGCAGTGGTCCAGAAAAGCCGATCACCAGCAGAGGCTGAGCACCCAGCACACTGAACACTATGCCCTGCAACGCCGTGGCAACTATCAGCTCCGACACACCAATCAGACCCTCTGTTTTCTCACCTGCGTCACAGGAAAGAGATTATAGCTATAAAACTTTCATAGTCCAAGAAACTTAATTGTGAAGATGTAAGAAGAGTCTTTGAGAATCCAGGCAGCTGAAACTTCCTCACCAGGTAGTTCTGGTAGTCTCTGTTACTGTTTCTGAAATCTGGACTCACCCAGAAGTCCACCAAAGGTAATGGCAGGCGACAGCGCAGCAAAGTAGATGAAGATGATAGCGGCCATGCACTGAGGGTTCAGAGCATCTCGAAGGTCGCTGAGGTACTGAGGGTACCGTCGAGTCACGTCTTTGATCAGACCTCCGAAAAGACGTCCTGAACGTCTCAGGGGCTCATCACCAGGTTTGGAAGCAACGAGGGAATCTATATTTTAAAAAAAATTGTCTTATCATTGCACATAACTTCAAAACATCAACATGTTGCTGCTGTTAAAAGGTCCTCTCATGACAACTGACCTTCATCGTGCTGAATGCTGCTCTGTTTCTCCTGCAGTTTGCCGCTCTGCTCCTCCTCCCTCTTTCTAAGCATTTCTCGTTGGAAGCGAGCAACCGAGTGGAGCAGCTCGTCACCACCGACCTCCGAGGGAGGAAGGACAACACTGCAGTCCAAAAAACGGTTGATGGCTGACAGCAGGTCCTGGCGGTCATCAGCCTGGTACGCTGCCTCATGGAAGTGCTGAAGGAGCATACAGAGGTAGAGTTATTTATACAATATTTACCACATTACATGGGTTCAAGGTAGTGCAGCATTATTTGGTGGTCATATCCAAGTGGCAGACAGCACTAACTGCTGGGACTTACCTTGTCTGACATGAGTGTGGAGATGGAGCGTCCGATCTGGTGGTAGTCAATGTTGGCGGTAGGTGGGCCTAGCAGGAGGAAGAGGAACCTCACAGGGACAGGAACCTCCAGGACGGACTCCAGAAGAACTGCCTCTTGCAGCCGCACAAATGCCATGGAGGGTTGGTCCAGGAAGCCCACACTGCCTGCAGACACACAGATGGATGCATTAAACCCACTAAACCTGCTCTGAGGATGGACTCATGAATAAAAAAATTTGTGATGCGTACCAACGAGGACGACGGTGGCCTCGGCTCTCTCTGGGATCTTCTCCATCAGCTTCACTTCACGTTTGGATCTGGAGTGACACAGGGGCGGGGCTTCTTTCTGAACACAATGAAAGTGAAGAATAAAGTCAGTGAATCCAAACAGGTTCATAGTTCTGTCTTACACTCGCATGGCTCCTCATAAACTGCTACACTGATGACACCAAGTTATTTTTCTCCCATCTGACATTGAGGTGTAGGTGAGAGTACTCAACCTGGACACGCTAATGGCAGCTACAACAACAGTTAGTGGAATTGAGAAAGAGCATAAGTGATTAGTTATTTGTACAGTGATAATAAAGTTGTGTGTTTGTACAGTGTTAATAAAGTTGTGTTTGTACAGTGATAATAAAGTTGTGTGTTTGTACAGTGTTAATAAAGTTGTGTGTTTGTACAGTGATAATAAAGTTGTGTGTTTGTACAGTGTTAATAAAGTTG